CTGACAATTTAGAAAAGTTTGCACCTTTAAACAAGCTCCATGCTCTCGAATTGAACTCAAGACATTACCGATATTTTAACGTAACGCGCGGTCTACAACAATGCTAGGTGAAAGTAAATTTTGATTTCGATCCCCCATTCTTTAAAAAACAAAAGTTTGAAAAGCGTCTTCTAATCCAAGCATGACGTCACTGCCAACAAAATGTCGCCCCAATAACATACGGTGGAAACCTGACGGTTCGGTTCGTTCTACATTATGTAGATCTAGGTCGAATAAATTCGGATTAGAGGGCTAAAGTCTACTTTCACTCAGTCTTATCGCCTCTCCGCAAACACTACGTAATCCTTGCTTATTCTTACGCACCTACGAGCATTCTCACCCTTTTCTCTCTCTTCCTCTCGTGTTCAGACTAAACCCCTTGTCGTACAGTGCAGAAGCAAAAAGCCCTTATCTACAATGCATTCTTATCGCAGAGAAACCTTTTCAGACAGCGCACGAAAACTACTGATCCCGAAATCCTGATCAGGGTTACGAACCGGTTGTCATTCAGGAGATCGATATATCGATTATTGATCGTGTCCCGTCACCATATGGTGTTTCCCTTCTGGTTCAGCAGCCGATCTCTCTTCTCTTCTCCCTACGGGCAGGTCAGGTCAGTGGTGGTAGCCTGGAGTCGACTGGTCACTCGCTGTGTGTGTGTGTGCGCGTGTGTGCATTCAGTTGTGTCAGACAGTCTGTGCGTATACTATACTGTAAAGTGTGTTCTCGAACGAAGTGTATTGTTTCTGTGTTGTTTCTAAGGGAAGCTATTGGTAATGAAACAATGATTATGATATGATCAATATTATTAACAATAATTTAATATTTCATAATCCTAACCAAACTTCACGCGATTTAATTTCTTTTATCATAGCAAATAATTAAAACAAGCAAATTTCATTATGCCAGTAGGGAGTGTTTCCGATACATGTACTTTATTACAGCCGTTGTTATTTTTACAAGTACAATTTCTTAATTAACCTCATGTGCCTTAATTCTTCGTTTCACCGACTATCCCCGTTTCTATTATTTATTACCTTCGTCTTCTCAGAGTGCACCTCTTGCAGATTCTACATCTTATCTTTTGGCTTCTGTCTGTCTGTCTGTCTATCTTTCTTTCTTCTCTGTTGTACCAAATGGCGGTTCTTGTATAAGCATGCTGCTCTTTACTCAAATTTAATTGTTATATCTGTTTCATTCATGCCGAGTAGAAGGTAAACAAAGGTCTGTCTGT